ATCCACACCGGGCAAGCTTGAAAATAAGCCTGACCACGGTGAGAATCGAACCTACAACCTTTGGAATACTAGCCCAATGCTCTGCCAACTGAGCTACGCGGTCTGGTCGGGTCGAGCATTGGGCTAGTGGAATATTTTTCAAGCTTGCCCGGTGTGGATATACACTCAGAGTAACATCACAAGCATCATATTCACCTGAGTACATTACACCAACACAGTGAAAAATCAAGATTATTATTAGATAACATTGATATCGAAGGAACTAGATTCTGTTCTGAAATATCACATACTCGAATCGACTAGATCGCGTAGCTCAGTTGGCAGAGCATTGGGCTAGTATTCCAAAGGTCGTAGGTTCGATTCCCACCGTGGTCAGGCATATTTTTCAAGCTTGCCCGGTGTGGATATACACTCAGAGTAACATCACAAGCATCATATGCACCTGAGTACATTACACCAACACAGAAAAATCATAATTATTATTGGATAACATTGATATCGAAGGAACTAAATTCTGTTCGGAAATATCACATACTCGAACCGACTAGACTGCGTACCTCAGTTGGCAGAGCATTGGGCTAGTACTCCAAAGGTCGGTAGGTTCGATTCCCACCGTGGTCGGGCATATTTTTCAAGCTTGCCCGGTGTGGATATACACTCAGAGTAACATCACAAGCATCATATTCACCTGAGTACATTACACCAACACAGAAAAATCATCATCGAATAATTGTTAAATCGTAGTAGAAGGAACTATGTGATTTCAGTAAATTTAGAAAAAGAGAGAGAGAACATATTTTTCAAAATATTACGGAAACGGAGTTCAACAACTGTAGGCCGTAGAATGAGCATCCAAAAGATGCTTAGAAAACGGATTCCGTTGCACTCCTCGTGGAACTACGTAATTTTCACATGAATAAATAGATAAAAAGTTACTTTATCAGAATCCGTTGCTCCCCAAGCGAAACAGGTGCACAATTGGGAGAAAAATCCCTCCAAAGTTTGATATTTTCGCGCTTCGAAATATTCGAACCGCCATTGTTTTGATAGCAAATACGCATGCGCAACTCAGCCAAACTCGCACTGCGCACGCGCACAACCAACGCACATGCTTCGAAGTGGAAACACGCTCAGTTATGCAAATAAACATGGCTGAAGATATTTATAAAACTCGAATATCCTCATGTTTTATGCATTTTGAGCGTAACGGACCAATTTTGCAAAGTTACACGCCAAAGGCTTAAGAAATTTCTTGAGTGTAGGTCAAAATTGGCCAAACTTAAATGTCAACAAGCTGAAATAGCTAAGAAATCGTACGAGAACATCGATGACGGATCTGTCAATTCATACATCGAGAAGAACTCTGACACCATTAACTTAGAATGGAACCATCATATGAAATGCTGGAAGAGATTTTGTGATGAACCGAAGATCCGTAGATAACAGAGAAAAGAAGAAAAAGCAGAAGGAACTAGCTCTAAAACTATAATTTCTACCGAAGAATCACACGTGGAAGTGGAACCTGTGGAGGCAATATAACCAAGGCGAAAAATTAATACACGCCAATCAGTCGCAGAAGCTATAAATATAAAGGCCCTGCCTAAAAGAAACGCGCATGTACTCCCAGAGATATGTAATATTTGTGGAAGGACGCCTCATGGTTCTCACTAGACAAGGTATGGTATTTTGATAGGTATAATACTAGCGCAATGTGCACAACATTCTCAGGTTTGGTTTTATAATATATTGAATTGTGATCAATTTAGTTTATATAGGGTAAAGTAGTTTCTATGCTACAAACATCAAACCTTGTTATTAGCAGATATTTAGTTTAATAATTTATTTTGTTTCACACCAGGTAACTAAGAAGAGAAGAAGAACCCCACTCATCTTGGCAGAAACAATTGATGCTGGTCTTCTACGTACAGCTGCCGAGAGAAAGAATGATCAACAGATACTCATGCAAATCCAGGGGAAAGACTGTGTAGCTCTGGAAATCCGCTATCACAAAGTTTGCTACTGCAATTATACAATATTTTTCGCCAGAGAGACGAAGAAGCAACGAGAGTATCAGTGTACGAGAGTCTTATGATGTATTCTGTAAGAAAGTAATTGAGATGGAGGTCATCGGAAATAAGCAAATAAAGTACATGAAAGATTTGCTGGAGAAATTTGTTATCATTGCTAAGGACACTGAGAATGTGGATGCATCTAGATATAGAGCTTTTAAACTCAAGCAATGACTGATGAAAAGTTATCCCCAACTTGTGTTCTGTGTACCGAAAATGAGAAATGTTAGTGAGATTGTATATGTGGAAAATTTGGATTCTTCTGAATTGGTTGAGGAACATATGTCAATTAAGGGCCTGTTTATGTGGAAGCCAGGCTGGCCCGCTTAGCGAGGCAGCCCGGTAAGCGGGATGAATTTCTCTTGTGTTTATATGATAAACTTTCATCCCGCTTGCCAGGACAATTTTGTTACATTGTATTGTTTTGACAGTTGTTAAAAATAGCTTGCGGCGGTATTTTTGAACTTTCATCCCAGCAACCGGGATAGCCCGCTTGTAAATGTTTATATGGAGAAATTTCCATCCCGGTAAGCGAGATCTAGCCTGAGTAGCCTCTTTCAAACAAGATCTCGGCAACCGGGCCAGCCCGCTTGTCCATATAAACGCATGATAATTTTTACTATAAAAATAACTACACAGCGAGATCTTGCTTTAAAACCGGGCTGTCTTGCTTAACAGGCCAGCCCGGCTTCTATATAAACAGGCCCTAAGTCTGAAAACAATGATGAGGACTTTGATGAAGAGAGCTGTACCATTGATGATGATGATGTGAATTCCAACACAGAAACTGAGGGAAATTCTAAAGTCAATGAGTTACAAATTCTATACAATGCTTGATTCTTCACCAAAAGGTGCAAGAAATACCAAAACTAAATCTTCCTTGGCCACCATTGGCATCTGATTTGACAATGGATAATATTTCAAATCCAACTATGAGGACTGGACTAGATTTCAAGTCCACACAATTTGATCACGTCCGAGGCGAATCAGAGGACTGGATCAAAATGTGAGGACTTGAAATCTAGTCCAGTCCGAATTGGAGGATTTGAAATGACATCTCATGTACGAATAAATCACTACTTAATTAATTTTGATCCAGTCCAAGGACTGAATTAATTTTAATCCAGTCCAAGGACACTACAGGATCAATATACTTCATAAAGTATCTAGTATTATCATGTGAGCAAAATAAGCAATATGGTTGGCTAATTTGCTCATGAATTATTAATGATTTGAGGTGAACAATGATGGTAATGCATGTAGGTATTATCAGTGGAGTAGATCAGTATTTATTTACTTATTTGATATTCTCATTCGGATCCACAGTATTTATATTATCAACACATATATCCCTCTCATGGACAGGGTTAACAGTATGTAAATAAAATAATTAACACGAAAAACCAGGCTGAATCGTTCCTTGTTATTCTAGATAGTGGCTAAATACCAACTTATGTCACAATATAGATATAATACATGAAATAGTTCAAATACGAGAAGTAGAACTTTACCAGACAAAAGCCAGGACAGCTTATTGCAGAATACATGCAATCTCGTTTTGAGCCATCCAATAAGTGGGATTTTATTGCTCTGATGAAAATCTGGGTTCAAAGATGAAAACATTTATTTCAATTATAGATAGCTATAACGAAATTATGGATTTTATATTTCCTCCCAATTTATCTTTTTTATGATGAATTTCGAGTTTATATAAATACATGTATCCCTTAAAGCCCGGGACGAACTGGGAAACACTGTTGTCATATTATTTGTCTTTCCAATCTTTCGGTATGTCATATTGTCTTATCAGCGTCGGCAAACGGATAAAGAGTGTTTCATAAAATGCTTCTGAAATCGGAAATAATTTGCTTTCTGGCAAGCAAATTTTGCGTCTGCATTAAAAGCCAATTAAAAATCACGAATATTTCCGCGACATTGTTTCTTACGTTTGGCCAAGGCTTTAAGTTTAGCGAAATATTTCATTTGTTCCTTGATCGTGTGAATTGTATGCATATATATTTTTTATTCTCCGTCCTGTTTGATGCAGGTGGGTTTTTTTACCTCACACAAATTTGTATTGATCGAATTAGGATGTTAATATAAAGTAGAATTAAACGTTAAAACGGTATTTTGAAACAATAGCCAATGATTGAAGTGATTTAGCATATGAGCAAGCAAAATATACAATGTGTTTTTAACAATATTTAATGTGGGTGTATTTATATTACAAGGTTTGATCAGTATTCCGTAATTTTATTTTGTTGTTTTTGCGGAGGAAATCGGGGAAACCCCCCAGTGAGAATCTATTTTTATAGTCTGCGCGTGCGCAGTGCGAGTTTGGCTGAGTTGCGCATGCGTATTTGCTACCAAAATAATGGCGGTTCGAATATTTCGAAGCGCGAAAATATCAAACTTTGGAGGGATTTTTCTCCCAATTGTGCACCTGTTTCACTTGGGGAGCAACGGATGCTGATAAAGTAAGTTTTTATCTATTTATTCATGTGAAAATTACGTAGTTCCACGAGGGGTGCAACGGAATTGCATCTTTTGGATGCTCATCCCACGGCCTAAATTGTTTTCTGTTTGTACTCTGACTTTGTTCGATGTGCTCTTTTATTTCGCAGTGCTGTTGTAAATAGCAAGCTTTTTTATGACCTATATTTTAATAGATCTATCATACAGCTGAAAAGACGGATTTGTGCCAGAGCCACTTGATTGGCCTTCCGTCATCTAATGACATCTTTCCGCATTTGAGGGAAGATATATACATGTATGACCTGGCACTCAAGGGTAAAACAGAACGCCTTTTTTGCAATTATCTCATTTCAATTCAAGTTGGGCTGTTCGGTTAGCTGTGATCATTCTCAAAAGCAAGGTTTTATTTCGTATAGGGGCCAATGTAAGGGGGGATTTATCAGATGCCAAATATAAGTTAAAAATAATATTAGAGAGAAATGATAACGTGAACATGAACCTACACATCACTAGCAATTGTGAAACGACCATGAAGAAGACTTTCCAAAGCCATCCATTTTACAGGAAGTAAGTTCTATTAGAAAAAATAAAATTATATCCGATACCTCATTTATGGTAATAATAATAAGCGAGTTATATACAGTACCTAAACACGTTATTACAATATCACACACATGAATTTGCTTGGGGAAAAGGTGTCCAAAGTATCTTGTTAACCAGACCCACAAACTCATTATTGGACATATAGTGCTATGATTGTGGCAAATGGTGTATTGCTGAAATGACGAACAGTATGGGCTATGAATAGGAGATGGAGTGAAAAAGCGTGGGTGATAAGGTGTGGAGGTTGTGAAATGATTAACATGGAAAGATCCAGTATTTATTTCTGGTTCTAGTTTCTCTTCAATTAGTGTTTTTTTGGGAAAGGATGTAACTTCGAGCTTCATAGATGATTTAATGGTAGGATAATAGTAATTAAGAACTGATTTCTGCAATCATCATTGTATTTCAATCTTACAGTTGTGGCCGTAGGGCAATATTCCGAGCGGAAAAGAACTGCATGTGAACATATAAAACACAGCTGTCGTCTGCTTAGAGCCATCATTAATACTATACAGAACAGTTGGAATAACATGGAATAACAGTCAGAAGAGCATGACACATTGGATTAGGCCAAGGCAACAAGAAGACCCTATACAACCCGCAAAAATTCAAATTGCGCTGACAAATAAAGTGCCGGTATAGGGCGTATAGCTATTTGGCAACTACAGATGCGTAATCATTGCAGTTTGCTCACATAAAATTTCCCGTATGTAAATAATAGTGATAAATAGAAAAAAGATATATTCGGACTGATAGGAATACAACTACCTAAACAATACAAGCAAACCTTAGACGTGAAGGCCCTTCGTCAGTAAGTTAGTAGACTCACTTCCGGGGGCTGCGCAACTAACTATCCGACGAAGAGCCTTCGCTCGAAACGTCAAATAATTTTTCAGGTTGTTGTATCAATTCGAAGCTTTATTATTATTGGCACTATCTACACTGACACTGACCGTTAAAGCTGATAGAGATTCAATTCAAGAAAGTTCGGAAGGTGCGAAATATTAACAATATTTCAATGGTCGCGGGTCGCGACCATTGGAATGTAGGCGCGCGCAGAACGTATATCCGCAGAACGGACTTTACATCACCTTTAAGCCTGGTTCAGACTGGTCGTAATTCATCGGCGATCTATTGTATTCTTTTTTTTTTTAAAGCATTTTACACACCAATGACCACAGACAATGGAGTCAATGGACATCCCCGATTCTTACAGCCAGTGTGAACCAGGCATTAAAGATACTGCATGTGCATTACCATATTTTGTTAAATAATAGAAAATAAAGCTAATTTACCTGATTGTTTCGTATGTATTCCTCGGCGCCTCCAACGTCTCTTGCCAAACCAAAATCAGATACTTTTGCCATATTATCTTCACCAATGAGAATATTCCTTGCGGCCAAGTCACGATGAACAAACTATTGAAATGAAAATTATCCGTATAATATACATAACAAGAAAATGGTGTTTCAGAGTAAATGAAGGTTTTTGTGGAGGTCTCTGTAGATGGAAATTGTCATAACCCTCTATGGCAGATATAATATCTGGAGCAATTACTGCACTGTCTAGCTTACTAACCTGTAACTGCAGGTGACTTCACAATTTATTGCAAGCATAAATACATTGATGATTGTATGTGTTACTTGGGAAACATTCCAACTTTTAGTTTGCCCCGTGGTTTTGTGAATTTTTAAAACTGCAGCAAGTAAATTACTAAAATTCCACCAAATCAGGCGCAGTGTATACTACGTAAAAAAGAATGATCTATATGGTGGGCTTATAACATGAATTTAAAAATACATTTAATTTGCCTGATAATGGTTCTAATTTGTCATAATTCTAGGTTGGCATAAATTTAACAAATTTACTAGATACCTTTTGAGAAGACAGATGAACCATTCCACTGGATATATCGGCAGCAATTTTCACCAATTGACGATGATTCAAGGTCGACGAAAGGTTGATGTAGTTTGATGAGTTTTTCTCGGAAGGATAGACTCTACTGTTGATTAGCAAATGTCGTAAACTTCCACCTGTACAGAGCTCCGTGATCACGTGTAGCTTTCCTAAAGTGTAGTAATAGAGCTTTCCATAATGACACGCATTTGCTAGGTATAATAAATACGGGGAAGGGGTGTCTAAAGGTAAGCAAAATTTGTCGAAACGTTATTAATATATTTAATTTATTAATAATACAAAAATACAAAAGAAATGAATGTTTAATCAATGTTTGTAAATCGGATAAAGATCTGTCCTGATTTACATAAACTTCAGCTTTGATTTTCTCGGCTTAGACAATGTTTATTTTTAAAATTGCTTCGCCATGAACTCATAAGATGGGTCGTTTTATAAGCATAATAAAACATCGCATCCGATCTTTATCTGATATACAAACTCTCGCCTTCGGCTCGAGTTTGTATATCAGATAAAGATCGGCTGCTCATGTTTTATCTAGTACATTACAAGTAGGCTATATCTATAACAATATAGAACGCGTTCGAATGCCATGATATAGTCGACTACAGTTGTTTCTTTGGAAACTTTCAAGTAATTGTAAGGTTTTTTTACCCGTATCTATCAACGCATAGTATCAAAGAAATCAAAGGCAATAAAAACTGGCCGATTGTTAATTATGTTTCCACTTCAAACGTTTAATTTAAGTTAAATTAAGTGCATGGAAGGTTTCAGAAAAGAAACTGTTTAACATAACTTGGAGTAGAACATGAAAGACTTTGATCTTTACTTAATTCATAGGAAATAAAAATATTGGCGAATACTTGACTTCTGTGTAAGAAATCAAACTGTTTGTCTATACCTCCTATTGAGCAGCCTCCAATCAATCTTATGACATTTGGGTGAGGAACTTTGTTTACTTCTTTTAAGATAGTCAGTTCAGTCATCAGATCCTGGAGATCAGATTCTTTTGCACTATCTAAATGGAAGAATTATTGACAGAACTTATATAAGCTACATTCACGGGAGTAACTTGCTTCGCTTTTAGATTCTAAAGATTATTTAATTATTTAAATTCATACCAGCACTTTGTATGTACGTTAATTACACATATATACCTTTTAACATTTTCACAGCAACAACTTCAGAATCACCTTTCGTAGTTGTCAATAATCCTTGCATAACAATTCCAAACTGTCCTCCTCCCAACTTTTTGTCCAGCAACTTCAGATTATCTGGCGCAATTTCCCAGTCCTCCAATAACACAATATATGAAAGTTCGTCCGGAATATCTAAAATAAAATAGTTTTGTCGTCTTCGTTTGTTTAAAAACATTAATGTGTATTTATTTTATACTTACATTGTCATATACAATTGCGGTGCCCAAACGAAGTTAGGCACCCTTTATAAAGTCGATGCGTCAGTTTGTTAGTGTATTAGTTTGTTAGTCTGTCTTAGTTTGTTATAGTAGGTTCGCAATCATATAAGCCTATATAATTGTTATTTATTAAAAAGCAACATGTCTTCGCGCTTGTGATTCGCTTGTTTAGCGCATGCCCGAGGGCACTGGACTGTAGTGCTAACCCTGAATTATAGTTTCTTTCCCATTTATTTCAGCTAGTCTCTATATTAGAAAAACAAGGTTAGAAAATTTAATTCAATTTTTCTCGGATACAATTTTCAGCCAAAGTTTGGCTAATTCACTTTAATTTTGATAACCGGCAGTAGAGCATGGGTCTGATCAGTTGTATACAAAGGCCGGATAGCGCTATCCGCCGAATAGTGATTTTTACCAGTGTAAACTTGAAAAATTATAAAACTATACGAAACTAGATACCACAATTGCGAAAAGCAAACTCTATATTTCTACATAATAAAGTCTAGTAATTCGGGTTTACCAGTCTACGACTTTTACTAAAACTCCGTGTTTATAATTAGCCTGGTACATATACAACCGACCCTAGTACATATACAATATGGACATATGATAATACTATATTCTTCCAGTTTGATTAACATCAACTGACCTGTTTTCTTGGGCAAAGGCTCTGCATCTTGCCCAGGCTTTGTTTCTGAGGCCGCCATAGGGTTGTCAATACGATGCATTGAGTAGAATAACTGTAAGTAATTGAAACGAAATATTGAGATTACCGCAAATTCTCCATTAAAGTCTGGTCTCAAATAAATCTTCCTTCCATGCAATAACCTCTCCAAATTCGTTTGTAAAATATATTTATCTCTCCAACAAGCGCTCGCTATTTCGCGAAAAAGACACAAGCTATAATTATAAAAATGACAATTTTACGAGTGTAGTGCAATTTAGTTTGAAATTAAATGCGTGATAAAAAGTGTATTGTAAACAAAAGACTAGTTAATTTAGAGTTAAAAAATGGAGCAGCTGTCTGGGTTTAGCCTGCTCATTTTCACAAAAATGGCAAAATTATACATTTTCCTCCGACGGTGAGATTGTAGGGAGGTGCGTACTGCGTAGGGAAAACACTTGCACAGGATTGGACCTGTTATATGCATGGCTGCATGACATTTATGGAAATTGGTATGGATGTATAATTGATTTTCATTCCAAATTCCATTCACGAAAATCCCTAATATTCTAGATCCCGTCAACAATATAGTAGAAATACATGATGTTAGAATAATTCAGATTACTATATAATCATTCTGTACATTAAAGTTTGTTCTGCTTAGCTAAGAGTTTACAGGTAACTATAGCTATCATATCAACCACACAACCCACACATATACATGAACCAGTCATGTATTAGATACTCTATGATGCATGTTTGCAAATGTAATTAATTTGCTTGGGAAAAAATATTTAACAAGACGCTCTACGGAGCGTTAACTCGCTGGGGCTATACAACTACGCACATTACTGTACAATGTACATGATACATACAGTACACAGCTCTTTCCCGAGCTAAGCGGAAAAGTCGAACACGAGCGCGAAAGGCTTAATAACACAGTACTAAAATGCGGTAGGCCCTACAAGTAAAGTTATATTTAGTACGCTACATTCTTCTTCAAAACTGTCAGCCGCCAGTTGGTCTAGGATTAAACTGCGCTTTAAAACGTTCAAAATAAAATATTTTGGGGCTTTTGGGCTCAAAATACTATCAAAATGAAGCGAGAAGTGAGACGAATCCACTGGTATACGGCCGAAAAAGAGAAAACCAATGATACCAAAGTTATCAAGGGTCAAACGTACTGCATTTTTTTATAATTAGTTTAATAATTTTGAGTGATTGGTGACAATACAATTTCGCTTGGCTTTCAAAGACAAAGGCCATAAATCGCTAGAACACTGTTGTTTAGTAATACATTTGACATTCGTAATTAGTACAATTTCTTACGCTGAATCGAACGGTGGTATTTTTATCCTTATTGCGCCATTATGCATTACAAATACAAGGACAAACCTGTGGACAAACGTAGTGCGAGTGATTTGTGATCAACAATCCGTACTGCGAGCGATTTTTCAACAATACAATTTCGCTTCATTTTCAAAGGCCATAAATCGCTAGAATACGGGTGTTTAGTAATACACTTGACATCCGTAAGTACAATTTCTTACGCTGAATCGAACGGTGTCGCTTTCTTCTCAAAATATAAAGCAGCGCAGTCAAACGTATAAACTTTTATAAACTTGCGATTTGCGAATTGCGAAGGTTGCTGTTTCCATGCGAAATTCCTTGTAAAATTGTTCAATTTTCCCGAATTTTCCTCAAAATGGAAGGCTATGTATGGATAATTTGGGTAAAATTGGCAGGAGCCTTATGGATAATTGGGGGGAAATTAGGCAGCTCATTAATATTCTATTTTGTGGCTATCAACGACGATCGGAAATCTGACATCGGAAATCTGACATCTGACATCCACCAAAAATGCGTGCCGAAACCTATACTCGTCTGGGGCACAGGTGCCCCAGCGAGTAAT